CTCTCTTGCCCGAAGAGACTTTGCTGGGAGAAGTCAAGAGAGCCAATTCTGTACCCATTTCCTTTGTTCAGGGAGAGGTCTGCCATGGTGATGGGCAACCATTTATTGTGCTGTACACAGCCCCGCCCTATGTTGCTTTGTAAGTGGGAGTAGAACCTTTTCTGATGTTCAAGGGTGTGTCTGTCTACACATATCAGTATTGAACTATACTTCTACAGTAAAGAGAACCCAGATTAACTCTCATCTAGTAGGTATCTACTCTTGAACAATGTGACCTGTGTTGTATTACTTAAGGGTCCCAGTGGACAAAGGGTTTGCTTTTCTTCTCCTTTGCTATGTACAGAGGGACCCTAAAGATGGCTCTGGCCTTAAATATGCTGAAAAGAGGTTCTTGTAGTCTGCACAAGATGTTCTCTTTCCCTTCAGTGGTAAATCGATCAGAAGAAAGCCTAGCAGGGAAATAATATGGAAAGTAGAACTTAAAAATGGAGGTCCAGGTGAGAAATTAGCAGTTTCCTGTGGTGATACTGAGGGGGATAGAAAGGGTTCAGAAAGGATTGAGATGAATGAATAAAGATTTGGGGGGGGGTCTACTGAAAACATTCACTGAGTGCGAGGCTGGGAAAGCCTTTGAAGAAATAGCGTGAGCCTTTGAGTGATGGGGCAAAGCACCAATGAGTTCAAACTAGCAGGAATCTCTTTGGATACATTCAGATAAGATTGACTTGGTTCAGGGTTTTGGTATCAGCCATGGGTTTTAACGGAAGTGCATACAGAAGAAGAGTTCAGGCTTCAGATTAAGGGGATTTCACAGCTACTGTTCAAATAAGGTGAGCTTCTCATGGTTAACCGGATGCTTTGAGAGTGAAGTGAAAAAAATAAAACCTCGGTAGAGGGGGCATAATCTCTATCTTATAAATAGGCCACTTAATAAAGTAGCTCTTCCTCCTGAGACCATACTGAAACCATGAGTTGTTGAAATAATGTTGTTGAAACAACAGCCCTGAGCTGCTTTTGACTCTTGCCTTTTGGGGAACAGGGTAGGATGGGGTGGCAGACGAGGAAGCAGTGATGTGTTCAGCATAATTCCACTTTGAACAAATGGGTGGATGCAGAAACAGCTTTACACGACATGGCTGGGAAGGCAGAGGGTTGTATCACTGAACATCATACTGCAAGAAAAACAAGGGCTCCCCGAGGGATTGTCGTGGGTTCAGCACACTGCCACTTTATGATACGCTCGGAAACAACAACTTAATTTTGGGGTGAGAAAATCGCAGTTGCTTTCTAAAAGGCTACCCATGTTAGTCTACTGCAGGCAAAATAGGCCTTGTGGCAGAAGCTTTGATGAATGAAAATCCCACTTTATTGTTGGTGTTCTGAGCTGTAAGCAACCAAATAAAATGTTGGAGACAAACTGAAACTCCTTGGCAAGAGTGTTTAAGAGTATTAATACAATGAGAGGGGTGTGTGTGTTGAAGATGGACAAGAAAACACTCAGTAGGAATAAGGAGCCCTGCCAGACTGGTCATGTTTTGCTATTGAATATCCCATGTTGTGCTTGTTGCCAGAAATATTGCATAGGAGACTTTGATTGCACTGTACTTGATGCTGGTTATGATCCGTCAAATAAAATAGTTAGCGTTAGTCACAGTTATTTTACGGAAGTAAATAAAATTAAGCATATATTTGAGTGGCCTCACAAGAGAGTAAAGTGTGGTCTGTGCATGTATCTGAAGAAGTGGTAGTTAAGTTGCCGTGTGCTGAGGTAGTAGAATGGATTGATTCACTTTAGATGGCAGATGAGGGATTATTTCTGAAATTTCCTACGTGAATAATTCCCTGGAAGTAGGGAACTAGGACAGCATGTGAAGGGCCAAGCTACATCCGCCCCCCCCCCCCAAATGTGCTATATCTTTTATTTGGAAGTGGTTGGTTTCATAGGAAGCATTACAAATTTGACAATCCACTCACCTGCCAACGATCACCTCAGAATTCAGCCACCTCACTCTACTGGATGCGTTGGCCAAGCTAAGCTGTGTATAGGACACATGGAGGAGGAATAGGCGTGTTTAAGACGGGAAGGTTAAATGGGACTTGATGGTAGATCTCAAATGCCTAGAAGTGGCCTTAAGGGGGATGACAGGATAGGCAATACCACTGCATTGTGTTGAGATATACAAGGGAGGGAATGGCTTTGTACTCAAAATAGTGGCCTGGAAAGTTTATAGAACTTATTATATGGCTTTAAAGAGCAGTTATTAGTGTACAGCATGGCTTAATTTGACCCCATTAAAAGCTTTGCTGAATGTATTGAAGAAGTACTCTGTTCATCTAACCTCCAAATATAAGTTCTGTTTTTGTATGTGAGTCTCCTTTCTCAGATTGCTTTTGCGATACTTTCTAGGGCAGGTTAATCAGATGGACCACAGGATGATTGAGTCAGATCACTTGAGTAGGTAAAGCTGAGTGGAAGACCAGATCCACAATCCCTTCATTGCATTGTGTTCTCTCAGGGTTTTTTTTTTTTGGGGGGGGCATTGTATGCATAGAACAGAATGATGACTCTGCAAACTCCTTTTAAGCTTTGGTCTTCTAATCATACAACAGTTTTCAGCAGTTGTGAAAAATTCTGTCAGGAAAAATTCTGTCTCAAATGTTGGTTCATAACAACTCTTGGCACATCTAATTGTGGCATCTCTTGCATCTAAGCTACCATATGGTGGTGGTATTCTTGTTCAGCTGTGATGAGGGAAGCAGATCAAAAATTGAGAGAAAAAGAGGGTTTCAGTCTTCAGCTGGGTGGGGCATGTTAACCTGGATGCATTAGGTAGTACAGTTACTGGTACATGACCTGCAAGGTGTATGACTCTTTGCTCAGAGCAAAAGTCTTGGACTAGGATAACCCAATCAATAGGGGAAGGGCTAGAGTTTTGAGTAGGCCTTTCAGCATCTTCGCCTTGGAGCCTATGAGTGACTCTGAGCAATATACAAAGTGCCTATCCATTAATACTGATAAATGACAACCAGTCCCTAAATTGCTGGGATTAGTGAGTAGCACTCTAAAGCAGGCTTGACTTCTGGCTGCACTTGGCAGTCCCATTTTGAGACAGCAGAACGTCCTGAAACTTTTGTGTGAGCCAAGTGCATGGAGGCTCTTAGTCATTAACTTTTGTTCTGAGCTGACCTACAGCAGCCTGTAGGCTTGTGCACCATAATAGGCATTGTACAAGTGGATTTGGCTAATCTGCTTCTGCCCTCTGCACTGGAGAGAACCCTTACTACGATAAAGAAGGCTGAACAAGAATGGCCACACCTGTTTTGGTGCAGGTGCCACTGGTGGAAGTGAGAACAATTTGACTAAAACTGGCTGTACCAGCTGCTTTGGTCACTCAAGTTGTAATCCATGGAATGGGAGATTAGCAGCTCCCTATTCAGTCAACCCATGATTCAGCGCATGGATGTTGTACTAGGTTGTCATCCCCCTTGATCACAGTCTACATACCAGCCCTAAACACATCACTGTGGATGCATTCACTTCTGAATCCAGATAAGTCAGTAACTGGATAGCTTCTGCTCTTCATCTTGTACCATAAGCTCTCAGGCTTCTTTGCACAATTTTCAGTCTTCTTTTTACCACTTAGGTTTCCAAAGGTAGGCTTTAGATGGAAGATTCTCTGACAGTATGGCAATATGAAGCTCAGTTCTGAGTTGTAGCATTGTCTGTGTAATGTTGACTTCAGACTAGATGATTGTGTAAACATCTTCTTGGTGGTCTCTTTAAAATGCCACCTAGTTCTAGTAGGAGTTGGTAACTGGTGGCCTGTGGTTTGTCATCTTGGAATTTTTCTTGCAGGAATACTTCAGTTTCACCTTTCTCAGGGGGTCTTTGTCCTAGATGACAGATGGGAAGCAAAATAAAGCAGAGCATGAAAGCAAAAGGGAGCATTTCTTTTGCTGGTGGAATTGCATTTGGGCATGGTGCTTAGGATGGATTATTCATTTTCCCTCTCCTGTCCCAAGAAACCAGGTAACACTTAGTGGTATGAGCTGAATGAAATCAGACCATGCAGTGAAGGCAGGGTTCTCCATTCCCAGTTCTAGTGAACATAGGAAACTGCCTTTACTCCCTTTCAGCTAAGGTGGGTTCTGACTGTTGAGTTTGACATGGTCAAAGGCCAGTAAGAGTCTCAACCAAAGCAGCTGTAGCTGTGAGCTTAGTTTTTCTAGAGGCTTTTAGGGTTTTTTAAATTTTGCTTTTGCTATCTGTTGGATCTCTGTGGGTATCTTAAAGTACATGTAAATCCACCTTTTATAATCTTGTGACTGTCAGCTGAGAATGGTTTCATGTGGACCGATGAGCAGTTCTGCCTCTTTTTTTACCCGGTTTTGTTATTGCCAAAAATACTTTGGGATCAGTCACTGTGGGTGTATTTGCTTTCCATCCAAAGCGTCTAAATTCAATCCAGTACAGCCTTGGGCTTTTGCGTATCTTCACACTTCTTGTGTCACAACATCTGACAATTCCTACAGTATCTCTTGTTGGGCTTCCCTAAAAGGTACTGGTGATACCATGGTGGTCTTTCTCTTTGACTTTTTTCCCCCCAGGACAAAGGTAAAGCAGAGGGCTGTAACCTGCCTGCCGGGTCAAAGAGGTATAGACAGCCTGCCCAGGCCTCGTGGGTGTGAAGATGGATGGTGGAGCAGCTGGCGATGGGGATTCTGCTCCACGGGAGAATGGTGTGACAGCCACCAGTGAAGTGGCACCATCTGCCCGTCTGCCTGCAGGAAAACAAAAATCCAGCAAGACCACTCAGCCAGCAATTGCCGCATCTTGCCCTCCCACAGTTCCATGTGGTGCTTCCAAGACACTCAACAATGGCCCAGCTAAGAAACCTAATGTTGCTCAGACCAAACTCCTGATGCCCAAGAACAGCAGTGTTAGCAACACATCTGGCAGAGTAGCAGTGAAAAAGGCAGTGGGGGAGAAACCCAGTGGGGTGAAGGCTTCGGAAAAGCTGGCCCAGAACAAGGAGGTGCAACAGAAAACTGCAAAATGGGCATCACAGCCTGCAGTGTCTGGTATGTTCTTGCTGACTGACACCCCCCCCCCCCCCCCCCCCCCGGCATGTTCTTAATGCTAGGCTAATGTGCTGTAGGGTTTCTGGGTCCTGTCTCTTAGTCCCATGTCACTTTTTTTTGGTTGAAGGAAGCCAGACATCAAGGTGAGTTCTTTCCAAGTCATAGCTTAGATAGCAGGCAGTGTCCTGTAAACTTCTATGTATGGTGCCTTTCCAGATCTTGCATGGGAGGTGAACTTTTGCTGGGAAAGGCACAGAACTCTGCAGGTAATTCATTTTTTTTTTAACCTGAGCCATTAGTCCTACGTGGTTTCTATCCAGGTTTCAGAAATCTCACCAGCTACTGTCAAGATCCTGTGCATGCATGGAGATGCTGCTATGGGCATGCAAAATATAGCCCCTGTCTCTAGCAATCATTGTGTCCTCAAATCTTCAAGATAGGATTCCAGCTGCTTTATCTAGTTCTAGCTGCTGCCACTAAATAGCTCCTCTGTTATTGCCTGCAGTCTTATCTGGTGAGGTTGTTGGCAGTTTGCTCAGTGTTTTGTTAAGAGTGTTGACTAAGCTGAACATCCCTTTTTTTGCTCTTTTCCCAGCCCCAAAGTCGACTGCCACAAAGCCCAAGAGACCTGAACAGCTTAAGCCTACCAGGTATGATGTTAGGCGCTTGGTTGCTTATCTCATACAGCCTAGGGGTCAGTAGCGTTTTGACCAGCCAAACCACCTCAAATTTCAGAGCAAGTGATCAACAGAGCTAGTATGAGAGCCTGTCTGTGTAAGTGAAGATGTACAATTTAACATTGATATGTTGACTAATAATCCGTAAGGTTTCTACAGCCCAAACACTGGTTGCTGTGAGTCCTTTATTAGGAAGTGGGCCCACAAGAGGGCTCACAATAAATAATAAATACACACAGGAGTACCCTGTATTATTGTTTTAGTGTACCAGAATAAGCCTGCACATGGTTTGCACTTGAATTACTGTAACTGTTCACCTCTATCATCTCCCTTTGTGTAGAGCATCTTTAAGAAGTTCCTTAGTCCCATAAAAACCTTTGCCTGCTGTTTCCTTCATAGACTGGTTAGTTATCTTAGCATCCCAACTACCCCTCCTGTATAAAGATATCGCTTTCTTTTTTGGTCCTGCTTTAAGAACCACACCTGGTTCTCTACTGGGCCATATTTGATTCTGGAGCCATTAATTATAGACCCCTGCATACAGCCTGTGAGTTTGGTTTTTAAATCCTTGCTGACAATATTAAGCAGGAGTATAAATGCAAAGTAATGCCTTGAAGTGTACTGTTGCAGGGTGATCAAGATCACACCCTCACGTTCTGCAGTGAGAGCCAGCTTATCTAGTGACTGAGATGTCTCATTCTTTCTGATTCAGAAGGGTAGTCTTCGAGCGTTGCCACATTCAGACAGGGCAGCCAAGCAAGCAGTGCTGGCTAATGGAAATTATTCCCTAAGCAAATTTTATTTGGGCCTCTTCTGTTCATCTAGACTATGATTAGTGTTAGCATTGGAACTAACTAGATCTTTCTAAGGAATTTTTTTTTTTCCTCAGCAGAAAGAGAAACAAATTGAAGGGCCGAACTACAGGGTACAGTTTCTTTGCATCTTCCCCAGGTCCTGATAATCAGATGTGTGCTGTTGTGAGTTCTGGGCTTGGAACTCAGTTCTCGTGTGCATGGAGGCTGATTTGGGTTGGGACCTTGGGACAGAGGGGGGTTAAGCCCCATCCCATGCCATCATCCTGATCTGAAATGGCCCTGAGGGTGCTATTTGACCTTCAAGGGAAAATGTGCATATTGTTGGGTTGCATGTAAGTTTCCCCAGTGGGGCCATTTAGATTGGGGTGGGAGTCTCAAATCTTCTCTCCTAAGAAGAAAGGCAGGGTGGAAATGGGAAATCTTTTTAAGAAAGGGTAATAGTCACCTGTCCTGCAGAGGGATGTTAGCCAGCCAGCCGCCTTTTCTCTTCACCTTCCAAAACCAGATGTTTTCCCAGGCCTGTTCCTGGTGCTGGCATCCATTTTGTGTGACATGTCAGGCCAAGCAGTGTCTTACCTTTATTTTTGGAGGTGATATTAATATGAAGGGTGTTATCATTTCTCTCTGTGCTAAACTGCTCCTTCTGTTCGAGAAGGGGTCTGACCGCTAACAATGCATCTGGTTGCAAGGACCTGGGGAGGCTGCAAAGAAGATGTAACATAGACTTAGACTCCAAGTTTTAACTTCTTGTGGAATTTTTGAAGACAAAAAAATCCAAGGTGACCTATAGCTCTAAGCTTGCCCATCTGACTGCCTTCTTGGAGGGAAGGTCAATATTTACTCAAATACTCAAATTCTGATGTCTGAATTATATGAGCTAGAGGCAAAAAACTTTTCCACTTGGTTCCTATTTTTCAAGAGACCTCCAGTCTGTGCAAACAATTCCGAGTATGGAAAAAGACTCAAGTTGAGGAGACAAATGAACAGTGAAGGAGTGGGGGCAGGCTAGAACGGGGGTCCCCAACCTTTTTGAGCCTGCAGGCATCTTTGGAATTTGTATAGTGTAGTGGGCGCAGCCACAGAGTGGCTGCTACAGCTTACCTTTAGTCACACAGTGAAGAGTCCTATGTTGTGGTGACAGTTGCTGCCAAAGGAATGTGTTTGTTTTTTTAAATCTGCACAGTGAAATTAAATCTTCATTGGCCAATCAGAAGCCTTGCTGGACAAAAGCCTCACCTGGCCCCACCCAGTTTCTGAAAGCACATGATGGGCATGAGGGAAGGTGTTAATGGGTGTCTTGACATCTATGAGTATCATGTTGGGGGGCCCTGGGCTTGGATTTGGGCATCGTAAATGAGTGGGGGAAAGAAGGGCAAATCTCTTATTCCCTCCCTCTGGCTTGTTTACAGGATTTGAAATCAACTCCCATGAAATGGATGTGTAGCTGGAATGGGTACAAATGAAACTGACTTTATCGTGTGTCTTAAATTTTTGCCATCCTCTCCCTTACTTGTAGCCACCTCCTAGTTCCTGGGCTGGGATTGCTGTCAAATGCTGCTGGGATTGCCAGGATAGCCTTGGAACTGTGAGGCCAGCTAACTGGCAGAGTTTTCAAGCACATGTGCTTCTGCCAGCATTCTGGTGCAGCAACATATAGGCCCCTGTATTCTAATTCTCTTTTCTCCATTTCAGGACTTGGTTGCCAGGGACTAAGAATGCCACTTCATCAGCCTTAAGCAGAGCACCAGTCAGTGACAGAGGTGTAGGCAAACCTAAGCAGACTGTGCCACCTGCTGGTCAGGCTGCAGCAGTGCAGCAGCAAAAAAGCACCCAGGCCACACAAAGAGGTAAGTAATTGTACACGCCTCTGTATGATACACAAAAAGCTGGAAGTGAACATAGGACGTTCAGTGCATCCAAGATTCTGAATGCAGATGGGGAATCTAGAGGGGGGAGCTGGGTTAGTCTCTTATAGAACTTTATAGATCCATTATAACATAAGTTCTTGCTATAATAAAATCTGTTTGTCTTTGGGATGCTAGAAAACTTTTCCCGGTTACATTTTCCCCAAAAGAATTTGGAAATTCATATAGATAAGTGACTTGACAATAATAATTGAAATTATATTTGGATCCAGCAGGGGATATTCAGGTGCAGAACATGACTTTATGGCTCCCGTTGCAAGTCAAAACACCCCCATGCTGCTCCTGGAGGAATAGCATGGGGGCAGGGAGGTCTGCATCTGTTGGATCCAAATCTTACAGGGTTGTTGTAAATTATCCCTTACTGCAGATTGAGAGGGGGGGTAGGTGCTGAGACAGAAACCATCTGATCAGTGTATTGCTGAAATACGCATTTATTTATATTCCTCTTTTCTCCCCAGTTGGGACTCAAAGCAGCATAAAACATCTTTCTCCTTTCCTCGATTCTCTAACAACCCTGTGAGTTAGATCAGGTAGAAAGTTTGTGATGGGCCCAAGGCCACCCAGCAAGCCTCCATGGTAGAAGTGGGAATTGAAACCCAGGTGTCCCAGGATCTTAGTCCAATACTCCATCCATTATGCCACACTGGCTGTCAAGATTCTAGCCAGGGGGCAGGAGAGGAGGTATAATAGCTATGGTGTACTTGCTGTCACGGAGAGGATTTGAGCTACTGCCTTTCCCAGTGGGCAGCAATACATTTCTTAATAGTATGTATTAAAGCTAATGGCTCAGAAAGAGCCAGGAGTCAGACAGTGGTGACTTTGTGAGAAGGGAAGGGTTACAGCAGTAAAAGACAATATATGCAGATGCATTATTTCTGTCCTGTGATGAAAGCCAGTGTGGTATCATGGTTGGCATGTCAGATGGTGTCAGACTAGCACCAGAGAGTTCTGGGTTCAGATCCCCACCTGGTCACAAAGTTTGCTGGGTGACCTTGGGCCAGTCACCTTTCCTCCCTCTCCCTCTCCCATTTTATCCTACGTGTGTTGCTCTGAGCTCCTTAGAGGAAAAAATCTGTGATGGTTTCTATGCTGTTGGATTACTGTACAAGCTGTCTGGCAGGTCAGCAGATATAATACACAAGTAGGCAGTCAAGTTGGAATGTTAGTGGACAAGAAAAACATCAAACCCAGGACAGCAGCCAGGATTTTTTGTGTTGGGGGATCCCAGCGTAGGGTTGGGAAATGGTCAGTAAAATCAGTAAAAGTCAGTTTTTTCATCTTGGTCAGTAATTTGTCAGTTTTTTAAAAAAATTGGTCAGTAAAGTCAGTATTTTTGTGATTTTTGTAAATGCAGTTTGTGTTTTTCCAGTTTCATTACTGCATTTTTGGGGAAACATGATGACTTCGCAGTGAGAAGACAGATTGTTTTCAGTTTAGTTATGAAGTACTTTAAGGACTTTGTTCCTAAGAGTAAAAGTGATTTGGTGAAAACTTCCACAAAGTATAGAAACATAATTAACCTCTTAAAACATGAGACAATGAAAGTAGAGATGATGGATATTGTGGGCTTCAACATGGCACAGGCTCATGCTAAACGGAGTTGAGAAAGCAATGGAAGACGAGAACAAGGGGAAAAATGCTTGTGGATGCAGTGCAGAAAACTGTTGAGAATCAAAAGAGTTCGTGAATAACTTCATTTATTTATTCAATTTATACCCCGCCCTCCCTGCTGGAGCGGGCTCAGGGCGGCTTACAAAGAGATTAAGCATATAGGTAACTAATTATATACAATCTTAAAACAAATAAAGCTCTACATTATTATAAAGTGCCAGTAAGTGATCAGGTACTTATAACAATGCTTACAGAAGGCGGAACCAATACTAGTGTTGTAATCAGGTGATCTATATTGGTGGTTGGCTCATTTTGGTCTCTATATTTAGGCAACAGCACAGGCTGTTGGTGATAAGCCAAGGACCAGGGTACTGTCACTTCTCAGTTATTTGATGTTATTTGGTGTGGCTCCTTAGTCGAAAGCCTGGTGGAAGAGCTCCATTTTGCAGGCCCTGCAGAACTGTCTCTTCTGGGAGCTCATTCCACCAGTATGGAGCCACCACTGAGAAGGCCCTGGCCCTGGTTGTGGCCAGCCTGGCATCTTTAGGACCTGGGAGGCCAAT